GTAGTTGTAGTAGTAGTTGTAGTAGTAGTAGTTGTAGTAGTAGTAGTAATAGTAGTAGTATTAGTAGTAGTAGTAGTAGTAATAGTAGTAGTAGTAGTAATAGTAGTAGTAGTAGTGGTAGTAGTGGTAGTAGTAGTAGTACTAGTACTAGTACTACTACTACTACTACTAGTACTAATCTAGTACTAGTAGTAGTAGTAGTAGTAGTAGTAGTAGTATTAGTACTACTACTACTACTAGTACTAGTCTAGTACTAGTAGTAGTAGTAGTAGCAGTAGTAGTAGTAGTAGCAGAGTAGTAGTAGTAGTAGTAGTAGTAGTAGTAATAGTAGTAGTTGTAGTTGTAATAGTAGTAGTTGTTGTTGTTCTGGTTGTTGTTCTCCAACAGATTCAACAAGTATGCGTTTTATTTAGCAGCAAAGATGGGACGTTCCATGTGAACTCGGCTCACTGACCTTGAGGACGTCCAACAACAGGATGTCTGTTTGTCGATTACTTTTTGAGTGTGAAATTCACGGGATATTCATGGGATATTGAATGGAATTATTCCATTGGAATAGTGGGTGAAACCTTGAAGATCAAACATGGCTGGGAAATCATCGTTTTTTTTGGGGGGGGCATGGGGATATACAGAATTGCATTGTGCAATTGGTTAAAATTTGAGAACATATGAGAAATTTCAAACATCTGGGGATACTGTTGATGAATGATGGTGAATTGATGATTCTGTCAGTGGGTCCTTTGCCACTTTTATCCTGGGGATGTAAAAAAAATACCATGAGCCGTGAACCCCCATGAAAACAAACGGACGGCTTCGGTTTACCGCAGCCTGGGTGAAATCACCTAGTTAAAGTGAACTGGCATACAGATATTGAAAATCCCGTGCTGGACTTGAGCAAAATGGACTTCCATCTGTGAGTTGGCGCCAGGATCTGGAGTCATTTCATAAGTTTGGCTTATGGATCAAGGGTGACGAGCAACCCGACTTCCAATCTGGAAGTTCAAGTCATTTTTCTTGCTTTACTCGAAGGGTAGGTTTTTTTTGTTTTAACTTGTCGCATGGACTTATGATGTTTTCTTCCCGGTATGTTCCATGGCTGGTTTCAGTGTCCACCATTTGTCGATGATTCATCCCAGGATATCCCAGGTCATCCAGGTCCAATCCTTCCGACCGCCGACCCGCGCCAGGAAAAAGTATCAATTTCTTCTCCGACGCCACATGCGACTGGGCGCTTGGAAAATGCTGGAAGATGGACGGAAGTGAGCCCGGATGTGTCATGCACACATGTACACTGTACACAATGACAAATAGTATCTATATAGTTATATATATATAGTTAGTTTCATGGATCTCATGCACATATCATGTAGAGGTATCTAAATAATATATATCTACATGTATATATTCTTTTTGCATTCGTAGCTTTTATAGTCATTGGAACACCCCAGGCCTGTTGGGTAGTTCAGCGATTCAATTCTTCCACCTCCTTTCGAAGCACTGGGCATAGCTTAGTTTGGATGGCAAGATGGCCAACAATGGTTCACATACATACGATGTAGATATGTAATGGGATGATTAATTAATGGAATGCTTTTCATATGGTTAAAACAATAATAAACCACCCATTTGGGAATGGTTTATACCACATTTATGGTGATTTGGGTGATGGTTTATTATTGTTTTACCCACATTAATGGTGATTCATAGTGATTATTCATGATTATTAGGATAATTGATGGAATGGTGATTAATCTGGGTAAATTATAGTGACCTCACGTCGTGACCTCACTGGAATCGTGGTTAGTAAATGTTAGTATAGCCTTCTTTCAGTGTAGTATAGTATTGCAGTTTTCCCAGATATATACAATGGGAAATCAATGGAAATAGATGGTAATCCCATTGGGTACATTCAATTGGTAATGCCATTTCCATTGATTTCCCCTTTCCCATTGAATATACCCTTTGGATCCCTTTGGCAACCAAATCAATAGAAATCCCATATAAATGGAGGGTTTAGTGGGATATACTGAGGATATGATGGTAGGATAGCATGGAATACATATAATATAGAATGGAGTTTTTTTCTTTTGCAGAGGTAAACATCAGTAACTGGCATTATTGCATGTATCATGTAAAACAACATCATAATCGACACAATTACGTAGGTTTCTTTTGAGGATCGCACAGTCTATGCCTCTGTACATGATGTCCTTAGCCGCCCAGAAAGCAAGAGAAGCGAACGCTGATGCTGAAGCAGAACCTTGGCCAGACATTTGATGCCGCTAATCACATCCCCAAGCGAAGTCATTGGGAGAATAGTCAGGTCACACCGGGACCCTTTTTGGTCACACCAAAATAGCTGGCAAAGGGATGTCCATTAGTTCATTTTGCCAAACAACATGTATAACAGCAGAACAGATAATTCTATTTATAATTCAATGATTATCGACTATGGGTATTATTCATAAGTCAATATATGATTATTTTAAAGCCATAATTTGATCCATACGAATAATCCCCTCCACCTAATATTAAACACTCTTAGAAACCATGGTTTAGTAGGGAATTTCCATATAATTGGGACCATTTATGGTGTGTTAATATCAGGGTGATGGGATTATCAATATTGATCATCATAGTGTCAACAAAGAGTGGGTCACACGGCCTAAAAAAGCGCTCGCCTTGGTGGAAAATTCTGGGGACATGATCTGCATTTCATGGTGGTTTTCTCGCATCTGTGGCTATAGTCGTTTTCAGCTTCGGGACTTCGGGTTGCATCTTTCAGATGGAGTTATATCAATTTATATCATGTTATATCGCCCCATGTGACCCATGTGTGTTAATCAAACGACTCCAGATTGGTTTTACGCATCCTTTCACCATCACTCCTGCAGGAAGTTGTTGCTGAAGTTTCTGACAGGAGATGAACTGCAGAGGGCTAAGGTGGGACATCTGCTGAATGGGTTGAAAGCGTTCAGCAAATCTGGTATACCCTCTGGTAAACTGTTACATGACTATGGAAAATCACCATTTTCAATGGGAAAATCCACTATAAATGGCCATTTTCAATAGCTATGTTAGTTTACCAGCGGGTAACCCTTTGAATTATGATAGCTATTGGAAACTCACCACAGCTAGGCGGATGATTTTCCATAGTATTTAAAGTGGATGTAGCCTTCAAACATGGCTGGCAATTTTTTTTCGGCAACTCCGAGTGGTTTCACCAAATGGATGGTGTAAGCCATCGTCAGGCGCCAAATTTGCAAAACGAGATTTTGTCGCGGGTATGTTCGCTGGTGGGGGTGTAGCGAAGTGGTATATCAATTGAGTGGCTACCAGAGGTCTTCATGGTAAGTGGACCCCATCTCCGCCTTGACAGAACGAGATGAAGAAGGGACCTGCAGATCTGAAAGCAGAAGCTGAAGTGGAACGAGGCCCCTGGCCTGAAGGTCCTGTTGTTACCGCTCGTCTTGTCAGTTGATGTTTGGTGTGTGTGTGTGTTTTCCCCGGATGCTTGTAACTCTTGAACTATGATTTAGGGCGATGTTTGGTGTGCTGCTTTTCCCCGTCCTGGCAGCGAAGTTTGAATCACAAGATCCGTGTTGAGGTCGTTTGCAACAACTCAGTGGCGACTGAGATCGGTTTCCTTTGTCTTCCCTTCAGTAGAAAGCGACAAATTGACAAACATGCAGGAAAAGATAGGAAAGGGATTGATGAACACATTCAAAACACATTCAAAACACATTCAAAACACATTCAAAACAATTCAATCATCATACTTGTCCTACAGCCATTCCATCGGCGAAGGCAAACTTAAAGACAGGCAGATGATGCGACTTGGTAAGGTCGGTGGAGAGCGACGGATAGCAAAGGTGCACAGGATTTGGGAGAGTAGATGTATGTAGATGTCTTAGATACATATTTAGATACCATTGATTTTGATAGTGGTTGAAGATGCTTGGATCATATCCTGATCTGGCATGGTTTGATCCCTCATATCGTGTGCGAAGGTCCATGTCCCCCAAGGATTGCCAAGTTGTTGATGTTCTGGCAACGCCGGATGAAGAGCTTGGAGGCTTGAAACAGTGGCTGCTGTGAGGGCTCTTATAGTTTCTATGTTAAACAAAAAATCGTGTTGTTTTTTTGCACATAAGAATTGTGGCCGTGAATCTTTGTGAGAAGGATTGAGATGCCCGAGGCCCCATTGACAATCCTGGATTGAAACCACGGTCCATGCAGCGACGAACTGGCAGGAAGACCAAGAGGCTGAACGGGAAGCTTTCCGAATGAAAGTGAAAGCCTTGTGCCTTCGGCTGGAAGATATGAACGTCATCGGATTCGGCTGATTCGGCTGGACAGATCGTTTGGGGACTGAGTGGAACACATATGGAGGTTTCCAAAAATACGGGTACCTCCAAATCATCCATATTCAATAGGATTTTTCAGGATTTTTATGGATATTCTATTGTAAACCATCTATTTGGGGTACCCCTATTTTAGGAAACCTCCATATTCTTGAAATTATTTGAGAGCATTTTTTTGGAATCTTTGAGGCCTGGAGATGTTTGGAAGTAGAAACTCAGCGGTCAGGACACGTCACATGATGCCATGTCAAGCGTTGAGGTTGCAAGATATCCATTCCTTAGCCGTTGTCTTGGAAAGCACCTTGGCTTGTCGCGGCAGTAAAAAACGGGAAACAAATCTGGTGACAGAACTGCTGACTAATCCATAGAATCATCGCAGATCCGTTGGCCAAATACATGCCATGTCTATTCCATGTATGCTTTCATTCCCATGAAATGATATTGTTTGCATGGTTTTGGGGGTCCTTTGTTGAAACCCTGAAAGTCATTGATCATCCACATGTTATGTATCGAGGCTAATTGCAACACACAAACATTAATGGTTGGAGCCCCCTCCGAATCCTAGTCTAAGCAATGGAAACTCACCCATTCATAGCTGATGTTCACATTTAAAAAACAATTTATATCAATTTATCTACCATTTTCAGTTGCCACGTTGGAGGGTGTCCCTCCCGCGGCCCGAGGTGCCCCGATGACCAAAAAGAGGAGAAGACGCGTGGATGTGCGGTTTCCAAGTCCACCAAGACCTGCTGCTGGTTGCAATTGAAAAGAAGGGTAATCATTCCACCATCCACCAGTATCCACCTATATAGTAGTTGATCATCCACCTTTATAGTAGTTGATTCATCATGATTATCATGAATTATCATGAATTATCACGATTTATCATGATCCATGACCTTGCCTATTCTAATTATATAATCAATATTGGTGTCTTGAAAACGGGCAACTAGCTCCAAAATTCATTGTACAGGTGTAATTATATATATATTATTAATTTTATATTAATTATATATAATATATATTAATTATATATATATATACACCCAATGTTCAGACGCACCCATATGCTTTGTTTCCGCATGTTTCCGCCATTTACGCTTCGTCCTCGCTATGATTTAGTCCAAGGGCTTCGTCCCTATTATCCATTGGTCCCTGTTCATGGTGTCTTCACCAGCCATCAACATTGGATTTAACATGAGTCAAACGAGTCAATATATTATCAAATAGTATCAAGTATATATATATATGTATGTATATGTATATATATATATGTATATGTATATATATGTATATACATATACATGCATATGTATATATATATATGTATATATATATATATGTATATATATATATATGTATATATATATATGCACATATATATATATATGTATGTATATATATATATATATATATATATCAAACCAACCTAAAATAGTTATCCAACATTATTTTTTTATGATATGATCTAATATCAGAGTTTTAATCTGATGTTCATCATAGTTCCTCAGATTTCACCGCTCGAGGCCGAAGACTTGCTGCGCCTTCGGAGGCAGAAGGCGGAAGAAGCCGCGCGGCAACAGGTGCAGCGATGGAGAAGGAATGCTGACAGTCGGGGTCAACTCATTGGATCTTATTTAATACACATATTTAATATATGGATATTATATGGATAATTTATACTATAGTAGGATATTATATGGATAATTTATACTATCTACTAAATTATATATATAATATCCATATAATATCCTACTATAGTAGTTAGTAAGTACTATAATGATAGATCGTAATTGCTTTATCATATCCTATAATTGGATCTTAATAATCCTAATTATATCCGAACTAATATATATCTGTAATTACTAACCATTCATTCTTATACTGTTGGATCCTCAATTATGGCAACTGATATAATATAATAACAGTTAAGTAATTACTATAATATCCCACTATCAACTTATACTAATATATTCAACTATTCAACTATATATATAGCACAACCAATTATATCATCAACTAATATAATGGGAATATTCAACTTCGTGATATTCACGAAGATATTTTCATGATGATGATTATTAATGGTGATCTTTGTGATTATAATGAAGTACCAAAGATTGACCATGTAAAGAGGAATGGCTGCGTTGCATTGGGATAATAACGTCATACGAAGGGGACCTGGGAAAACCCCGATCTGGGGTTAACCGCAAATGGATTTGGCTTTGGTACCATGAGGGCATCGCCCCTAGATGCAGACAAACCTAAGTACCGAATATAGTTTGGCAAACAAATATTGAAGAACCTGCAAACCCATGTGGATTCCAATAGTAGCAATTGTAGACAATACTTCATTTACCAACTTGTGCCATTTAATTTGAAAGGTGGGAGGTGTTCAAAAACACATATTCAAAACATAATGTTTGGCATTGGGTCCGCCACTGACAATCAACCAACAACAACGGGCAATTTTTACCTAATTTGTATAGTGAGCAAATGGGCAATGGATCTCCCAATCCAATCCTTTTACTCTTGAAATGGTCCATTGATGTTTTGTTTGCTTGATTAAGTCCGGTTGGTGGTTTCAAACATTTTTTATGTTCCATAATATGTGGGATAATCCTTCCCATTGGATTTCATATTTTTAAAGATGGTTAAAACCACCAACCAGAAGTGTTCGATAGTTTTTGTGAGGTTATGTACATGCCAACTGAGCAAACTTATGCCAGTGACATGGGTGCATACAAACCACTAAAGTTATATAACTAGGAGCAGGGCCCTTGATTGACTGAGCCACCAGCATCCAACCATCGAAAACATGGCGATTGGGTGCTTTTGTCCAGGGCAATGTGGTGCCCATTGGTGCTCCATACTTCATCCAAGGGGGGTTTAAGTAGAGTTCCTATATAGTTTACTGTAACTGTAGATTTGCTATGATTTACTAAGTACTACTTTTTTATGATTTACATTAATTTACAATGATTCACTCTTGGCTTTTTGCTAGGCATATAGCTTTTCTATGGCTTTACATCAGGGCCACGTTCGCAGGTGGAGGAGGAGAGGGAATCGATGAACACGACCCAAGCCCTGAAAGCCGCCAGGGAGACCGAAGGGCAGGCAACTGGGCATGCCTTGGGAACCTGGTGGCGTTGTTGGGTCAAACCGTTGCCCCAGTGCCCCCTTGAAGTACTGATATATCTGTATTATCTGTCAGAAACATCCAGAATACCAGGGAATTCACCAAGTTTAGTATATCTTAGGAAAGCTATGTTTGCAGAATCCGGATGATGTTTTCCATAGTGAAACATTCATCAGCTACTTCGATATATCCACCAGAAACTATAGACATCGTCAAGTTACAAACCAACTTCACTATTTTTGGGGCCATCCTGTAGGTATATCCATATATAGTATATATATATATATATATACATATATGCATGTGTGTGTCTATATGTACATACTGCACAGGAACATTTGGGGACCACCAAATATATAAACTCGAAACCCATGAGCGCGTCAAAATGGATCCCTTTTGCACTGTCATCAGTTGACACTCAACTAACAGATTGGGAATTGATTTGCTTTCCTGATCCCGTTGTAGACCTTAAACGGTGTTTGCTCGGGCACCCTTTGCCGACACGTCTTAATTGAAAAGCCACATTGCTTGTGCATATGATCATTTTTGATAAACATAGGGATAATTAATTAGATGATAATCTTCACATTAGAATGCGCTAGATAAAATCAATTATTCGATTGTCTGGATACTTGCGCAGCATCTTCAAGGGTATGGCCTAGCTATACCCAATTGGTCACCCATGGGCCCATAAGCAGAAGACTGACCACTCCTCTTGGAAAACCTCCCTTGAAAGCTATCATGGAAGCCGTAAAAATTGCATAAATCCTATGTCGGAAAATCATCTTCCAGAAACTTCGAAGCCGCCAATCCAGGCTTTCCTAGCAGGGTATTTACTATCATTGGAGCAGGGGATTATGGTATCATGTAATTACTTAGCTCGATTATTACCCCAATTCTGATCCCATTAATCATTATTATATAATCATTATAATCAATATGTTCCTATAAATTCTGGTATTTACAACCAGCATTTCCCCATTTTGTAGCCACGATTTGCCGTCCAACGGTCCAACCACCCAAAACCTTCGATCAGGGCAGCATGACGGCGCTTCAGAAGATGGCAGCCTTTGCACGCAACATCCAGCACAGTGGCGAGAGGATGCAGGAAAATCCTTGGAAAAGCTGGGGATGTTTGTTGGATGGATTTAACCATGTTTTTAAGGTGGGGAAACTAAACGTTTGGGAAAACATATATGGTTTACTCAGTAGTTGGACACCCACTGCTGCACGGCCGTGGCAGGAAGTTTTTCCCCACCTGCCAGGTGAGGGTTGTTAGATTTTATGTCAGTTGCCTGGTCCTCCTCCTCGTCCTCCTCCTCCTCGTCCTCCTCCTCCTCCTCTCCTCTCCTCCTCCTCTCGTTGTCCTCCTCCTCTCGTTGTCCTCCTCGTCCTCCTGCTCAACTGCGACTCGCGATCCACAGTATTCTCTGTCGGACCTCAACCACGACCATCCACGCCCAGTGTTCCCTGCCGGACCTCAACCACGACCATCCACGCCCAGTGTTCCCTGCCGGACCTCAACCACGACCATCCCCGCCCAGTTTTCCCTGCCGGACCTCAACCACGACCATCCACGCCCAGTGTTCCCTGCCGGACCTCAACCGCCAGTATCCACGCCAAGTGTTCCCTGCCGGACCTCATGTAGGAAGATATGGGACAAAGAATGTGTAGAAGAAAGTTAGAACGAATGTCAGAAAGAATGTCAGAAGATATGCCAGAAGATATGCCAGATAGAATGCCAAATAGAATGCCAGATAGAATGCCAGAAGATATGTCAGAATATATGCCAGAAGATATGCCAGATAGAATGCCAGATAATATGCCAGAAGATATGCCAGATAGAATGCCAGATAGAATGCCAGAAGATTTGCCAGATAGAATGCCAGAAAATATGCCAGAAGATATGCCAGCCAGATAGAATGCCAGATAGATATGCCAGAAGATATGCCAGATAGAAGGCCAGAAGATATGCCAGAATAGATGCCAGAAGATATGCCAGATAGAATGCCAGAAGATATGTCAGATAGATGCCAGAAGATATGCCAGATAGAATGCCAGAAGATTTGCCAGATAGAATGCCAGAAGATATGACAGAAGATATGCCAGATAGAATGCCAAATAGAATGTCAGAAGATATGTCAGATAGAATGCCAGAAGATTTGCCAGTAAGAAAATGTATAAATGTCATGGTGGGGATCACACGAAGTAAAGTATTTTTTTTGCTTTTTGAACGCAACTGAAGGGTTAGGGTGGGGTGGGGCATGTTAACGTTCCTTGTAAGTTGCACACATGTTGGATGCTACGCAACTGAAGGAAGAAACTGACGCTGCAGCTGCTGACGATCTACATGATCCTGAGGATGCTAGTGATGATGCTGAAGATGATGATGCTGTGATGATGATGATGATGACGATGATGATGATGATGGTGGTGGTGATGATGATGATGCTCATTATGATCATGACAGTGCAAATAAAACAAGTAGTTTTCTGAAACGACGATGATGCATTTTCACATGCTGGATGTGCAAAAACATTGTTTCGCTATAGCGGCGTGTTTATTTTCTATTAACATCATGGACATTTTTACCACGCCCGCGAAACAGTCGTAAACCCAGTAGTTGGTTTTGTGCGTGTTGACTGATTAAAGTATGAAACATGGTGGTTAAACGGTTAAACATGGTTAAACTATTGGAAGTTGCCACAATGGGTTTGTAGCTAGGTGAATTCTATGATTTTTGGCTGTTTATGATAGATATATCGCACTAGTTCATGTTTTTCTCAGACCAACTTACACCTGGGCATGCAGATGTTGCCAGGATAAGCGATTTGCGATTAGGTCCACTGGGGTACATCCCCTGCTACATCCAAAACTTAGAGATGTGAAATAATCCACTCAATTACCCTCTGGTAAACAAACATAGCTATAGGCCATTCATAGTTGATTTACCCATTAAAAAATGTGATTTTCCATAGTTATGTTAGTTTACCAGAGGGTAACAAAGTTGACATAAGTTGACTACTTGGCTAACTATGGTTTTCGGGACAAAAAATGAAAGCACGGAGATTTTGCTTTGGGATCGTTGGGCGGCATCCAAGATGACGACTCTGCGATGAGGCTTGGGAAGCTACTGCCCAAAATGCGTGATGATCAGGGCCTATGATTCTATGTTAGTTGATATAATTGACACTTGGTGGTTGTGGTAATCCCATGTGATTTTCTGGCCCAGACTTGGCGACGTGGCCTTTTTTAAATTGCCGCAGGAAGATGATGCCGTGGAACGCATGCGTTTGGCGAAGATGCTGCGGCTGCCTGGCGAAGAAGGGGTGGGATTGCCTGGAGATGGGGTGGATTGTCATCAGATTGTCATCATGTTTTGCCAGTTGGCAAGTTTGGGGGATCTACATGGATATCCAATTTTGGTCAAACACCCCCCCATATGATTGGTCCGTGAGGACCCATATTAACTGGAATCAAAGCAGTGCATTCAGGTCGAATATCAATGATCTTCAAAAGGGATGGACAATGCATGCTGAGGAGCCAGGAATAGTCAACACCAATCATGAGAGCATGCCTGGGTTCACCCCATGGTTTGGTGTGTTTCAAGGGCAGGTGGACAAGTCAATGATGAAACCACTGGTTGTGGGACAGAAGTTTCTTCATCCCGTCTCGCTGGAAATGAACCCCGTGGAACACTAACATGCTACAGGCTATGTTACAGCAGACCCCAGCAGCGATGACCCCAAGCCTCCCAAAATTGATGGATCATTCGTAGAACCCCTGGTCAAGACAGGACCATCATAGAAAGAAGGAAGATATAGGAAAGGAAAATGTTTCCAGGATGACTATACTATACCAGATGATGGATAGAGAAAATTGAATGTGGCTTCCTGTGTCAAAACAGAGAATATGAAACTTCAGTCCATCATGTTGTTCAATCTACTATGTATGAGTGAGTTACCCAAGAGTGGCATTGTTTCTAATTTTATCTAAATTTGTGATTTCTTATTATTCAGTCTGTTTCAGTGCTATATTTTACTAAACACATTTTTATATTTAACAGATAAACTACATATATATGTAGATAATATTTATTGTATGGCATCGGTCAAGGTTGTATACATATACCTACAGGCCCCGCAAGTACTCCTTGCGATTGGTACTTTACCCCATAAACTTATATATATATATATATATATAGAGATTTATATAGTGCTTTTAAAAGTACTTTTACCTATGTTTGATGTGGTTAATCAGGGTTTAATGAGGATCTAGGATGTTTTTTCTTATAATCCCTTAAATTGATCCATGGAACCCCTATGATTTTCATGGATTTCATCCATTTTCCATTCAAAATTCGCATTTTGTTCCAGGAATTTCTTCCAAGTTCTGGCGCCTTAGCCATCACCAGGACCTTCATGGACCAGAACAAGACCCGCGACGACGCCGACGACGACGCCGGGCCGGCCCCGCTGCGGGGCTTGCCGCCGCGCGCCTTGCGGCGGCCGAGCATCGGGCGGCGGCCGAGCCAACGGCGCTCCACGGAAACGCTGGTGGGGAAGCCCGGGATGTTTAAGAAGAAACTGGGAAATCCCCATAAAATCCACCATATTTATAGATGAATCCCCATAAAATGGTGGTAATATACAGCATTGAATCCCCATATAAAAATAGATGTTTGTCCCATTTTTATACAGCATTGATATATCTGATAAACCCTCTGGTAAACGTTTGCAGTTTACTAAGTTTACTATGGAAAATCACCATTTGTTGTGGGGAAAATCAACGAACTAAATCGCAATTTTCACTAGCTATGTTAGTTTACCAGAGGATGGAAGAAATCCTGCACCACCAAAGGGATGGTTAAAACCCTAAAATAATGGGATAAACCACCTATCAAGTGGTGCAGGATTTCTTCCATCCACCGTAGTCTCCTAGTTCTTATGATCATTAAATATCGTTAATATGGTAGATCACTGGAAATATACATGATCATGTGGATTATGGGAACTATATGATCATTGTATTTATGGTGATGATGATGATGATGATGATATAAGAATTGCATCATCATATATCAACCATCATGATTTGCTGAACTTAACAGCCTTATCGGATTATATTGGGTTACTCTCCGGTCATTTAATACACTTGGATTTGCTGAGTCAATGATTATTTATTTTCCCAATGGGACATCCACTGCTTGGGGAATCGATTAGGGGTAATTCGCTGCCAATGGAAAGTCCATGCTTCCAACATCACCCAAGGCTCAAAATAGAAATATGGCAAGCCCGAAGAATGGAGCCTTCTTTCTTCCCTCCCTGAAATGGAAAAGTTGGGACCATGTCTATTCATGGGTGCATGTACAACATATGGACCATTTCCCACCAAATGACCCATGTAGCTGTAGGTAACATACAGAAAAAATCGAGCATCTGGGATGGAACATGATGGGACACATTTCACGGAGAGAAAAAAACAATTACCCTCCAGTAAATTAACATAGACCCTGGCAGATAGGGGTTGGAAGACTGGTTTCCACTAAAAATGGCTTATTTTCAGGGTCTATGTTAATTTACCAGAGGGTGATATCCCTATTATTTTCCCTATTGGTATGTTCATTCCAATTTATTCAATCTTCCACTTCCACTAGCATATTATTGCCAGAGGGTATGTTTTAATATGCCCTTTATTCATGTTCATCCAGGGAATAGATGAATAGATCCCATGATGTCCCATTAAAATAAAACAGATTACTATTTTAAAGAGCAGAGGTTAATATCATAACATTAGCCTAAACATCTCCCACTAAAACCCTACTCTTTATCCCATTCATATTCAGGAATCCAGAGGTTACCATAGCATAAATAGCCACATGAATATCTCATGCTATCCCAAAAAAAACCCATAATTATGACACCATTAATGCACATACCCTCTGGTAATTTAACATAGCTATTGAAAATCACCATGTTGCATGGGTATATCATATATATATATAAATAGCAATTTTCCGTAGCTATATGTTAGTTTACCGGAGGGTAATATCCATGAATATCCCATGTTTCCTCCCGTTAAAGCACCATGACTTGGTCGGCAAAGGATGATGACCTTCAGATCTCCGCCACGCACTTCCATCGCCAAGGGAGCCCAAGGAACCCAGTGGGAGGCAGGGCGTTCTGGAGGGGGTTGGGATGGTTTTTTGGTGTGAAATGATGGATATTATCGAGATTTTGAGTGTTCAAATCCTCATTTTAACCCATAAAATCCCAGCAAAATACGTTTGGACCGGTGAAAATGGGGGAAATGAGGAGTTGACTTGATTTTTCTAGGGAATTTACGTAAGGATTTTACCAACAACAAAGGGAATTTGTGTAGGATATCATGGGGGTCACCCTCTGGTAATCAGTCACATGGCTGGAAAATCCCGCAGCACTATTTCGCTGATTTTCTCAACTTGATACACCCCTTATAGTGGAGGTTCAATTACCACCATGAGATTTGGCAGTATCCTATTTTCGGACAAACCTGTCGAAGACCGACAGCATATAATATGATTACAGTCAGTGCCAGAATTATAGAACGGAGCCAGGAGTACAAAAGTACGGTAAAATACCGTACCTTTGTACTCCTCCGGGTTCCGATTCCGCGCGGAGTCGGGAAATTTAATTATAGAACGGTTCTATAATTAAATTACTCCTGGCTCCGATCTATAATTTCTGGCACTGACATGATATTTACTGCATATTTGTACATATACAATCTATAAAATGAAGATTTAATGAATATTTAATGAGGATTTGATGAGGAAATGAAGATAAAATGAAGATTTGATGAGGAAACGAGGATAAAATGAGGATAAAATTAGGAAAAATGAATTATATAGAACGGGGCCCGGGAAACATTAATTATAGAACGAAAATGGGAAATGTGAGAAAAATGGGGGAAAACAGAATTATAGAACAGCAGCGCTCCGACAAGAATTATAGAACGACGAAAAAAGTTAGGAGTAAATTCAGATACGTTTTTTTTTCCACACCTTCCGAGGAAAACAGAATTATAGGACAACAGGGTACGGTAAATAACCGTACCTTCGTACTCCTCAACTTCCGTTCTATAATTCCGGCACTGACCAAAATATGACGATTTTTGATTTGATATGGTTGTTATATAACCCTGGATGGGTGTTCCGAATATGTTGCAGAAAAGCATCTCAAAATTGGGCTGTGATGGTGGTATAACCATGGTCAAACCCGTGGTTTATTTGGGTAAACCAATTGGATGGGTAGACCATTTGGAAATGGAAACCTTCAGCATCTGGGGATCAGAATCTGTTTTTTTTTGGGAATGGCGTGCCGAAGATTGGCAATGCTTTTAGGGGTTATAGGAAGGGGCCCCCAAAGCATACACAAATTTATCGGAAATGGGTTCACAATTGGACTTAGAGTGGATATATGATGCTACATGTTACGCTCAACATCGATGAACCAACTAATATCTAGGGAGGGGCATAGAGAGAGAGAGAGCAGTTGCACACCTTTTCAAACATAGTGTGGTAAATTATGGTAAATTGTAGTGGTTCCTATCTTTTTTGGGGGTCAACATGCTTTACTAAACAATCTGCTTGGAACATCTTGGAGCCCTTTTTGTAACCAGTCGATCCGCTTCCCGCCAAAGCCCAGGGACATGGACACATCTATATACATTTGTTTGTGGGGCTAGAGTGGATGCGAGATGGTAGAGTTGCACGCAAAAAGGCAGGCAGAGAGGTAATGATGATTTTGATTGCTGAAGTAAACGCACACTGCGAAGGAGGATAGAGATGCCCCATCGACCATTTTCGAAATCTACATACAGTACGGTGTCTTCAGTACCAATGATGAGGCGCATCAAAGACTTGGGAAAGTCCCTGAAAATTCCACCAAAGTTGCTGCCTGCCAGTGACTGGCCTTGCTGAGTGAGTTCCAGCATGGAACAACTCGGACTTGAGCCCGACGCAACATGGCAATGTGTTCAGATCAGCGTTCTTTGAAATTTGCCATCTTTGTCAACGCTGTGCCTGAGCACCGGTTGGCCGAGAAAACCCAACTGTGCGTGGAAAATGCGCGACTGCATCAGACTGCATCGCTGGCAGCGCTCCAGCGGCTGAGTGTGGACCCGGTCGGAGGCTTCAAAGAGACAGATCAGATAGCGGAGTGCTTCCTGTACTTCCTGTGCTTCCTTGATCCAACGCGGCTTCAAGCCAAGCCGCCAGAGTTTCTGTACGCATTGTTTCCACCATTATCCATAATTGATATAATTGTTTATTGTTTGTTTACGGGCACTTGTCTCATCCCCAGTTTTAGACCTAGAAACCTGAGGGTTTTTCATGTCACCTTCCAATGGCTTGGTAAGAGGACTCAACTCAACTCCGGCAAGAAAAACACCTGGGGGATATGATTGGTAAGTGAACATATTGGGACGTGTGTTTGATATGATCAATCTTATCATGATTATATATATATGATTAATAGCCCTCATAGTGAACTACTTCATGCACATATTATTTGATAATCGTAGAGTCATGGCTCATCGAATTCCTCCACTTGCATTTGTTTCTGTAAAAGCACCTCACATAAAACACACATGTATACTAGCATGTTACCACAGCTGTTGCGGCTCAGTAAAAAGCGCTGCTGCCGCAGGTGCTTAACGGTTTCTAGTTTTGCCCCATAGGTTTATCAGTCTATTTGGGATTATAAGATAACCTCAGCTGAAACCTGAAAATACAGGTTATCAGCCGTAGTCTCTAAAGCCATGGACAAGACACACGACGCTACAGGTGGCGGTGCCCTCGTGCCCTCGACAGGAACAGTAGCTGCTGCATCAACTGGTTCTCAGCAAAGCTTGCCGGCTGGGACAAACCCCACGCCCATGTCAGTGGATGAAGGTTTCTTCACACAGCCCGTGCAAGCCTATTTCCAGTTCGTGCAAAACAATCTTACCTACATCAACGAAGGTAACATTGATGCTTTCAGGCAAGAGGCAGAGGAGAGGCACACACATCTCATGGAACAAAAGGTCCAGCAACTGTACCAAGAGTTTGAGGGAATTTGCCTTAGCGAAATCGCCCATCAACGTGCAGAAGCTGATCGCAGACATGAACACCTAGTGTCGGAGTATTCAATGTCCCAAACGGCAACTGAGCATGAGGTAGCAAAACTGAGACAGGAACTTAGCGATGCAAACGCAAAGCTGAAGAATGCTGCAAATGCAGTTGCACTGGAAGCTGAACCCACGTTACAGCCCAGTATGAACAAAGGTTTTCTGAACTCAGAGGTAGCCTCGAGGCAGACTGTAAACGAATCGTGGACGAAACAGTGGAGTATGCAAAGAATGGCATGGAAGGTTTCAAGAAGGAGGAACAAGCTGTAATCCAGGAGATTAGAGAGGAATGCAGTAGGCAGGAAAACCAAGCTGCTGAACTCAACTTCCAATTGCAGGGACAAGTGGAGGATTTGATGGAGAAGCTCAACAAGTACAGCGCCCCGGAAATCAATGTCGACAGAGCCGTTGAAGTTGATGATTCACAAGGCG